AAATACATACATACATACATACATACATACATACATACATACATACATACATCCTAGTCATACTGAAGTGACTTTTGGATGTCATTCCAATATTACTCCTGAGACAGCACTTGGGGGAAAAAATGAATATATGAAATACAGAAACTAGAAAGTCTTTCTCCTGTTAGACCAGTAGTGCAGGAAAAAGCTAGGAAGTGCAGGGGTGATCTTGCTAGCTCCTCTTGCATGGCTCCAGTAGAATTCCTAGTCCTTTCCCCCTGATTTACACATTTATATCCCACTTTATTATTTTTTCCTCCCCACAGGAGCTAATACTTTGCTTAAAACCCCATTTAAAAGATATCTATAGCCAAGATAGGATATGCTGATGAAATCTGACAATTAGGTTTATGGAGCAGAAATGTGATCCTTTGCATAATTGCCTGGAAGTAAGCTGTAGCGAATTTATTGGTTGTAAAAATCGCCACACTTTAACAACAAAAACAAGAAAAGTCTTTAGCTAGTTAAGATGCAAATCATCTATAAAAGAAGTTTTACTATTTTAATTGGGAGAATGGAATAAAAGTTCCATCAAGGAAATTGGGGAAGTATTCAGCCTCTGCTAAATCCTTTTCCTAATTCTTTTGACTTTTCGTTACTGGTCTTCCTAACCTGGCATCCTCTTGATGTGTTGGCTCCTGTCACCCTGATTGGCTTGGGATGCTTGGGGTTATCGTTCTACTGGATGCCAGGATCAGGAAGATGCCTTTATGCTACTCTACGGCACACAGTTGTAAAATTTAAAACTCTTCTTATCACCTCGTTACTTTGTTAGAGCATGAAGGCTCCACTAGCTATTGTGGGATCCTTCCATGGGTCATCTACTCTTGCTTTAGAAGAAATCCGAGTATTGCAAACCTTGCATTGCACCTCCTTCCCAACATAACAGTGTTTGAGTTGTGGTAAAGCTGATGCCTTATTGGCCTCAGTTCATCTATTGAAATCTAACACCGACTTTCTTTTCCTCTGTGATTAATGAGCAGGATGACAAATACTGGGCAAGACGTAGAAAGAACAACATGGCTGCCAAGCGATCTAGAGATGCCCGGAGGCTGAAGGAGAACCAGATTGCTATCCGTGCCTCATTCCTTGAGAAGGAGAACACGGCCCTGCGCCAGGAGGTGGCTGATCTACGGAAAGAGTTGGGCAAATGCAAGAACGTCCTTGTCAAGTACGAAGCCCGGCATGGTCCTCTGTAAATGGTGTCCCCCCGCCTTTTCTGTTTCTTTTCTTCCCATCTACTATTTTATTATTATTATTTTTTTAATTTTGTGGTTTGGCATTTAAATAGATGGACAGCGTGTTTCCTGTTTGATAGCACCTCACCCAAACCAACTTTTCAGTCATGGGCACTTTAACAGAAAGCAGAAACAAAACCAGTGTACAACCTGTGTGTATGTGTGCATGTGTGTGCTTGCACACACGTGTGCAGGCATGTCTGTGAATGAGTGTGCACGTCTGTCTTGGCTCTTCTCATTTTTTAATGAAACCCTATTTGTAGGGTTGGGTTGGCTGAGACTTGCCATAGTAAACTTATTATTGAATACATACATGTAGATATATATGTATGTATATATTTTCCAGTGCTGCTTAAACTGTATTTTTGTCTTATCCTATCCCATTCTTTTGATTTAACTTGGAAAAAAAAAGAAACAAAGCTGAAACAAAAGTATCCTGGCAATGCTTAAGAAGAGGAAGGTAGAGCTGTCTTGGGTTTGTTGTTTCAATAAGGCACATCAGACTCTGTAAACTTACTGATATAATGCACAGTAGATATTCATGCTATATTGCAGAGATATTAATTTATAGATTTGCTTTTTTATTTTGTTTTGAGTTTTTTTTTATGGTTTTACACTTTGGTAAATAAAATAGACCTTCAGATTCATAGTGTATTCTATATCCTCCTTGTAGAGTAATAAGGAACAACTAATTTTCCTTTCGTTGCTATAAAATCAAAAATAAATACGTAGAAGTATTATACATAGATCAGAGAGAGTATATTTTTGCATTCCCTGGACCTAAGCAGTAGTTCTCTTGTACAGATTAAAATATTCCTGGTGGATATTGGATGACTTTGCTACCTTAACACTGTAACCTTTTAGTGCTCTTTTTTCATAAAACATTAAAATTTCTTGATAGTCTGCCTAAAAAATATCCCTAACCAGACAAGCAAAAAAAGAAGCAAAACAAAACAAAACAAAATCATCAGATGCCTGCACAATGTCGGAGCATGCTATATAGGTAAAGGCCAAAGCATATTCCTGCCTTAGGTGAATTAAATTTTTGCTTCTCCCCCCTTACATGTGGCATGTAGGGCACAACAGTGCAAAACATTTCAAGATTGAAATACTCCAACCCTGAAATACCCGTTTCAATCTTATCAAAAACTGACCAGGATACCTTTGTCTTTCATCTGATTTCTTTGAGGCTTTCCAACCAGCAAGTGGAAATCCAGAAACTTTCCGTTACATTTCTTGGGAAGTAGGGGTGTCAGTTCAGCCAGTGAACTGCCATGCTGCTTCTGCAGATCTGCTCAGTCTGCAGTGCTTTTTCAAGAGTTAGCCCTTGAATTTGGCCATTAGAAGAGCTTGTCTGCTTTTGCCTAGATGGTCAAGCTGTCTTGTGAACGTCTGCTGCTGTTCGTGCAGATCCCCCGTCCTTGCCCTCGATTGGCATAAGCCAACCTGCGATTGGCATAAGCAGAGAGATCTGGATCAATCCCCAGTTAGGGACAGAGGTCAAATGGTGCTTGCCTTCAGCCCACCACCCGCTCTTCAAAGAATTCAGTGCTGTTCTTGAGGTGCTGGAGTGACACTGATTGCCATGCCAGGTCAGGATGAAACTACACAAAAACTCAAGATAATTCATTGACTAGAGAACTGGAAAACAAAATAAAAAAGGCCTACATTACCATCACCTTTGGAGTTTGGGCAGATGGTATTTTTATTTCCACTGATGCTCAATTTCTGAAAATCTCTTTTTTCTTGTGAATGACTTTGAATTCAGCTTTTTAGTCAACTGTGTGCAATATACTTTCTGTAGATTTCTCACCTGCTGGTCTTTTTTTCTTTTTCCCCGAATTGTTTTGATTTAGTTTAAAAGTCACTTTTGCAATTTTTTGCCTTGACATGTTGCTGTGATTGTATCATGACCTGATGGTTTTCAGAGTTTCTCCTGTATTTTTTTAGCTTTGATTTGTTTTCTAAACTTATGTTATATTATATAAAGTATTTTTGGAGGGTGGGGAGGAAATGAATGTAAGAGATGCAGATATATATTGAAAGGTGATGGTGTTGTCATACTGTGGTTAATTCAGTTCTTTTAAATGTTTCCTGAAGACCAAAAGAAATTGATTATTATAAAATGTATAAAATTTATACAGAATCATTAGAGTGTGCTCTTTTTTTGTACAGTATTTTTCAAGGACAAATGCTGATCATGTATTTTGGGAAAAAGATTAAGATATATATCATATGTTTAAGCAAAGAGAAGGTTTAAAAAAACTAGATTATTTCACTTTAAAGATGACAATATATCTCTTTATATATTCATGAATACTGAATGCAGAAGAAATGCTTCTAGGGCTTTTTTAAAATGATGATATTGTATGCTCACCATTGGCACATTAACATAGTTTTGTGTTTTCAGTTAGAGAATAATCCATGTCTCTTGGCACAGCTGCTTGCCTCTGGAAGGATCACATTGGGTGCAATAGAAGGCTCTGCCTCCCTCCTTTTCTTAGTGTATCCCACTTTAGCCACTGCCCATGTATGAGAAGAAGAAAGTTGTGCACTTATCTCCCTTTCCCCATAAGGACTCCATGGTCCTGCCAGCCCCATGTAACCCCTCCATGCAAAAGTCTCTGTGCTCAGATGGGGGCAGATGGGACTCTAAATGTTCTTTGCATGTAACATTGTTTGCTGTGATCTTTCAAATTTCTCTTGAGCAAATACAGCTTTTCTTTCCTTTTAAAAATGCGTTTAATCAGTTGGACAAAGCACAAGATTGGTGACATCTGTCACAGAGCTTCGTGGGTACAAATATGTTGGGGACCAGGTAGTATGATCCAAACGCTCATAGAGCTTACATTATCAATCCTTTTATACATTTCCAATCCATCCTATGGTGAGGATTTGTATTTATGGTGAAAGTTTGAAAAAAAATTCCATTACAAAGAGGGTTCTGGCAGGTTGAAGCAAATTTCTCTCAAAAGACATCAGCTGAGGAGGCCAGACTGTATCCCATACCTCTCTCAACAGACAGCTTAACAGAGCTAAAACAGAGGGCCTATTTTGCAACTCAGCACAGTGGAGAGCAGGTAAGCAGTCTGCTTCAGGTATCTCCAAAATGCTGGGCCTCTAGTTGTGCTGGACTGTAGCACCCAAAATTCCCAGCCAGCCAGGCTCTCTCTGGGTGATGGGCAGTGTAGCTCTGTGTACTTCTCCAGGTTCAGATCTTTGGGGGACAATTCAGAAACAGTAAGAGACATTTCACATGTTAGAGATGAGCCCAGGTTGGTTGCTCAGTATTCACTCCCTGATCTGGTAACATGTTTGTCACATTTGTCCAAACTGAATTCCTTCTTATCCAAGTTTTTGGTGCCCAGGGTTTTCCGTAAGGCAATCATTTCTGCTTGTGGAACCATATTACTTCCCATTGTTTATCCACTATATGTTGGATAGTGCTGACAGACACATTCATTCAACAACATCTGGAGAGCGCAGATTCCCCAATCTGTCCTCATGCTTACTACTATCCTTCTAGCATCTTCTGGAGGTCCATTGTTTCAGTTTTCTTGCCCAGTCTCATTCTATCGCTGGTTGAGTACAAGAATGAGCAAAGTCATATGACTTACTTGAGCCATACTTGGCTTTTATTATACTTGAACAGGTGCTTTCTTGAATTGGTGAATTACAGAAAAGATAGGGTTTTTTAGTGCATTAAAAATGCACATCAGAAAATTATGGTGCCACATGTCTTTCTAGATCATTTTTCCATCAAAACAAGTGCATTTCTGTTACATAAAATCATCTTACATTATAGGTGATTTAAACAAAACGTTTGGACAATTCCAAAGAAATATTGCCATTATTATGAGGATTTTCCAGAAAGTTTGAAAATAAATCCCAGTGTCCTAAATTTTGTAATAGACTTTTTTGGACCATTATTTCAGCTGATTAATCATCTTTAGGGGGTAAACTATCCTTTACTGGCCAGTAAATATATCTGTCTATATGTTCATATGTGTGTGAAAGTGAAAATAAATATTAAGCTGATAATAATTTCCACTGAGTGTAAAACAAGCCTAGAGGACATAATATTGGGAGAAGGTAGGACTATAAGAAGTTGTGAACAGGTGCTCTGTTCATTTCCCCCGAATCCCAAGTATTTCATGATCTTATTCATAACTTTGTCTAGAGCTGCCAGCGTGGAAACTCAAATTAACAAAGATTTTTTACAGGCTAGGAAATTTTATCTACACAATTGATATGGAGACGTTAAAAAAGTATAATTTCACTAATCTGGAAGTTCTTTTGAAATGCAAAGATCTTACAGTGGGCAGTGTTCCTAGATTCAGTGCTGTTAATATTAGAAACACCAGTTGCTTAATCATTGTAATATCACTTAATTGCTAGACAGGGCAACTATATCCAGTCATAGAAGGTAAGCCAAATTATACAATGGCTTCTGTGAATAATAAGTAGATACAGAATACAACATCTTGAACACACAACAAAGCAACCAGATGTCCACACTTGATCTGTCCTCAAAACATGTTTTCATTTGCTTCTGATATTGATCTTCAACTTGGCATGCTAATTTATTTGGTTTTACACTATGAATCTGTATAGATGGGTGGTAAGCTTCTCTCAAAAGAACGAACCAAGAGAAACTAGTTAAAGAGTATAGATGATGACATGGGTATGTCAGCTGTGACTAGAGCACATGACAAATGAGGGTGGATTGTCCAGAGATGGGCAAAATCTAAAGTAAGGCCAACAGCAATAGGCCACTGATCAAAGCTGAAACCTGAGTAGCTGTCTGCACATTGTAAAGTGCATAGTTAGCATCTGGATTGGCTTGTGGATCAAGCTGAGGCTGATGACATTAGAATAAGAGAAGTATTTTTCCAAATCCTGTCTACCAGTCTCTTCCAACTGGATGCATTCCAAATGTAATGGGAATATATTGCCCATACTTTGAACCAGCCGAAAGCCATGCCAGCTAGCAAGTCTGTAGTCCTAACATATCTGGAAGGCACCAGCTTAGGGATTGACAATTATCTGCACCAGAAAGCCATCAGTTAGTGTTTTTGCTGGGAAAGAGTTTGCAAGAAATGTATTCCTGGTCTCTTGTGAAACAGCTATTAGAACCAGCCATTTCATCAGTTCTGAAATGGATGCAGATAACTGTGGCCCTCCTAATACCCTGTAGATGTTGCATACCCATCAGCCCCAGCCAGTATGGCAAAGAGTTGGATATGATAGAGGTTGCAACTAAAAATGAAACAGGAGGGCCACAGGTTCACCACCATCTGGTATCATTAGGAGAGTGCCTCATCTGTACACGTCTGTTGTTTCAGTGCTCCATTGATCTAAGACTGCACATTATTTGCTGGAGCGAGATGTAAATTAGACTACAGTTGTATATGCTCTAGTATTTTTGCACACAGTGGGCTTACTTCTGGGTAAGATTTAGGTAAGTTATTAATGAATGAAACTTAGTCTTATTTTTTGAGTTAACTGGTCCCCGGCCTTTATTCTTGCTTCAAAAATTGTGTGTGCGTGATATGTGTGCATGTATGCACACTTGCATTAGCATGTGTGTTGTTTGGGAAAAGCAAGAATGAGCTTCTGGTATTTTTCATTTATTTGGAAAAATGTTCCACCTTTTTCTCTCTCTTCTCTCAAGTGATCAACCGTTGTATTTCTGGCAACCTCATATGAGAGCTCTGTTCACAAGAGTTTAACAAACAAGATCAAATTAAATGTACGTCATGACATGAATTGTGTTCCGTATGTTTTTCAGCCCAAATCTTTCTTCTGTTCTTTAACGTTTAATAAAAACATTTAAATTTTTTCTTTGCTTAGGTTGTGTTTGTCTTTCTTGCCTTAGCAGGTAAAAAGATGGTAGCTTCTTAAGGGGTCTTTGGACCCCAAAGTTTAGGTGGGATTCCTAAGGTTAGTGTGACCACTGGCTGCTGTGGATTTTTATAAAGAATCTGTGGCTCTGCTTTAGGGTTGTTGTTTTTTAAATTATGAGAAGTAGATAACTGTATTTACTTACATTAGGTATTACATTTTTAATCCCACACCTATCTATGAAATTAATTTGGTGTTAGCAGAGGCACATCTCCCCAGGCTTGGTGGGAATGAAATGAGACTGTTCCATGCATAGCCTCTTGAGTGATCTGAAGTCCCAGAATGAGTCGGGGATGTGTTGTAATTCTAGAGGTCTGAATGCCAAAGAACCGCCAGTTCAATCCCTGACATCTCCAGATAGGGTTGGAGAGGGCCTCCTAAGAACTGCTGCTGTACGCCATAGCCCTGAACTGGATGGCTTAGGCACTGAAGAAGATCATCTGGAAAGGAGAGAGACAGTACACACCCACACCATACTTTTCCATCATGGACACTAAGGCATGAAGAGCAACTCCCTCCCTCCTTCAGATCTTCACTCAGTGCATGGATGGTGGAGATACCGGACCAGTGGCTGCCCCACATTGGAAGGGAAAGATTGTATGAGCATTGGCATAATTTGAAGCATCTAAGCCAGTGCTTTGCCAAGTTTGAAAAAGGCTGATCTAGACTGAGCGTGGAGGTTGTGAAGAAGTAAATCAGGTCTCCCTTCCTCCAGTGGGAGGCAATAAATCTTCAGCCCCTTCCTGTAAAGGATGCAGTTCCTCCAGCCTTTTAGTCTCCTGTCTCATCTCCCTTCCCCATTTTCTAGAGCTCTCCTGGGACCCGACACCAGGAAAAGGTGACCTGGAGGGAGGGAGGAATTGCAGCTGCATCCTTCTCCTCTGAGAAAAAGTAAACTTCCATCTTTCTAGTATGATAGCAATTAATTTGCACAACATACTAAGCAACAGCAGCCCCCCCCCCCCAAAATCCTAAGGTTAAATCTGACTAAGCTTAATAGATTGTGCAATCAACCAGTACATTTTTAATTTGTCTAGTTTAGCATGTTGTGTGAATGCAGCCAGAGTGAGGTTAAAAAAAAGGCTGAGCAAATCCAGATTTCATAATATACTCTATTATCTACCAGCATGAATCTTTGCAATAAAATCTGGGTCTTTGCGATAAAATATGCTACTTTAGCAATCATAGTGCCTTCCTCCCCTAAAGAAACTTGGGAAGTAAAGTTTGGAAGTGTGCTGAGAATTTTTTCTTAGGGTTCCCTCCCTGATTCCATGTCCTTGCAACCTACTTTTCTCCCAAAGGAATAGTGGGTTAAAAAAAAGTTTAAAAGGACCCCTTGTCCTCTGCCAGGCCCAGAGCAGGTAACCAAAAAAAAAAAAAAAATCCAAACCATTCAATAAGTAAAAAGGATGCAACACTGCATTCTTGACAAGAGGTTGGCAGAAACTAGCAGGAGAAGGGAGCCTCTGGAGCCCAGAAACTCAATCGGCAGGCTAAAGTGAGGATCACTGTTAATTGTCTGGTTTGTTCTGGAGAGGGAGGAGCAGGCTGAGGAAACCCATCATCAAAGTAGAGTTCATGCAGACCAGTCTCCTGCAACTTGGCACCCTTTAGAGGTGTTGGGACTGCTGGTCCCAGCATCCCCAGCTGTACAGCTCAAACAGTTCTGGAAGTTGTGATTCCAGCCCAGTTTAAGGGCCCTGGGCTGGGAAAGGCTGAGCCAGACAAAACTGCCAAGGGTGGGGGAATTTCACTTCCAATATACTTGCTCACCTGTCAGCCCAGAACAACGCAGGATTCTCTCCTCGTTACAGTTACGTAATAACAAGTTCATCCTGAAACAAGAAAGCAACTCACCTGAGGTTACGCTTATTTATTTATGTTTTAATCCAGGAACATGAAATGACATAATCAGGGAAATCCAAGTCAGTAGTAATTTAGGGATTGGAAATAGGAGCTGTGCAATCATAATGAAAATGAAAGGATAGGTAGGTAGGAGCAATTGCAAGTTATATATCATCCTCATCTCAGTTTCTTCTAACTATATTCAGCAGGAGTTAGAGGAATTTGCAGAGGTGTCAGGACTATCAGTTAATTATCACAAATCACACCTAATGCTTTTTTCATACACCCCCAAAATTCAAAAGGAAATTTCTACAGTTTTAGGGATTCCAGTAGTGTATAAATTTTTAAAATATTTAGGGATCACTATTTCTAAAAATATCAATAATTTTTTTCCTAATAATTATATACCAACATTGAAGAAATTAAATAGGGATATGAAAAACTGGGCTTCAAAACATTCTAACACTTTAGGGTGAATTGCAGTGGTAAAAATGAAAATCCTTGCACGGCTCAACTTTCTATTTCAATGCCTCCCAGTGGAAATTCCAGAACAGGCTTTAAGACATTGTCCAAAAAAGAAAGAAAGAAAGAAAGAAAGAAAGAAAGAAAGAAAGAAAGAAAGAAAGAAAGAAAGTTTCTGCTTCCATGCAAAAAAATGGAGAATAAATAAAAGGATTTTATATAGATCTCAGAAACAGGGAGGCTGGGACATACCCAATTTGATAATATATTATCAGGTAGCACAGGTAAGGTACATGACTCCATTTATTATGGAAGACTCTTCTAAACAGTGGATCCAAATTGAAACTATATCACAGCCAAATAATTTTATAAATCAATGTTTTGTTTGCCTAAAATATTTTTCTAGAATAAAACAGATTGAAAATGTTTTCATTAAAATGATGCTTCAAATTTGGAAGAGTAAATGCATAGCTCTGATAAAGGATACTTCTCCTTTAACTCCCTTAATAACATATATAGAACAGGATAATCCTTATGGTTTGGCTAAAATGAAATTTTTGAGAGAATACAATCTTTATAGATTAAAAGATTTTTATAGTAATAGGGAACCTTTCAATAAAGATCAGATAGAGCAACAAAGAGGTGATAAGTTACTATGCCTCTTTCATATCAACTCAAATCTCTTTTGGGCAATAGAAATTTTAGAGCTTCAGCAACACGGCCTTATACCAATTTTGAGAATTTAATGCTTTATTATTTAGAACAACCAAAAGGAACAATCTCAAAAATGTATAGGTTATTATTGCAATTAGAAATCGGAGATCCACCATATGGCTTAAAGGAGATAAATTAGCAGAAATTATGGAAACTGGGTAGATTCATCTCAGCTTTAATGCAAGAACTGCAGTGGAAGACTATACATCGTTGGCACTTGACTCCCATTAAATTGGCACACTTATATCAAAATTATTTTTCCAAATGTTGGGGAGGTTGTAAAAAAAAGAGTCATTTTTTTTTCATTTGTGGTGGTCATGCAATAAAGCTATAACCTTTGGGCTTAACATTTTTGGGGAGATAAGTAATATTGCTAACCAAAGAATTGAATGCTCCCTTCTGCATTTATTTATAGGACCAAACCTCAGGCTTAAAAATAAAGAACTTATTATCTATTTAATTTTAGCAGCCAAAATAATAATTGCGCCACGTTGGAAGACTCTACATAACATAACAGTTGAGATGTGGATTAGCAGGGCCTCTTCAACTACCACATTAGAAAAAATCACAAAGTTAAAATAATGAGACATCAGAGGCAGGAACCACAACTTTATCAAATTTGGATGGATTTTATGGTTTACCTTAATAGCAACAGACTATAATATGGTATACATTACATATATGGTAAATTTGTACATGTACAGTAGCCGTCTCTTTATTTACATTATAGTAGATCTTTTTTGTATTTTCTATATATTTTTTTCTATATGCATCTTGGATTTATGTTACTGTAGTTACCGGATATTATTTGTTAATCATGGTTCAATAAAAACACTGAAAAATCTCAATTTCTTCTCCACACTATCGCTGTGGACTGATTTACCCAAAACTTCTTGCCTGTTAATTCCTAGAGCATCCTCAGCTTTTTTCCTTTCTCTGATGGGCCAACCATTTTCACAGGTTCTTGCTCAAGTTCCTCCCAATCCAGACCCATATACCTGCGTTAATCCATTCTTTCAGCAAAGGTTTGCTTTGAACCAATGTTGTCTGGAGCATTCTTATTTTGCCCTTCAGCCATTAATGGCTGCCAGAGAGGCTTCAAAAAAGAGAAGGGGAAAAAAAAAACACAGTATGATGTTCCAGGTTTACTCACACAAGAGAAGAAGGAGCAGAGAGGAAGAACTGGAATAATGCTCAGACCAGCTTGGATGAAAATGGTAACATGATGGAAAGCATGGCATTGAATGGCTGGGGCAAACTAGCTGGTCTTTTGGCAGACAGGAGCCATGGATTCAGATGGCACCACTTCACCTTTTCCCTGTTTGGTTTGTAAGTCATTTGGGGTGAAGACCCTAAAGAGCTGTTGGCATTTTCCAAACTTTCTGTGCTCGGCTCTTTCAGGTCTTTGATTCCGCATACGTTTGTTCCAGTATTTGAAAAAAGTTACGCCAAATGATTCATGCTCATTGTTCAGTGTTTTTCGTAACATAGACTGACATTTAGTCTTACAAAATCAAAACAAAGAAGCAAACCAAAAAATTATTACCTTGCGTGTTGGGGAGGCAGCAGTGTGACAATTGACACTTCCCTTTGTACCTGACAAGCTATCCTGCTTTTTTACACTAAAAAAAATAATAATTGAACACACAGGAAGCTGCCAAGCTGCCAAGCAAAACGTTAGCTTCAAGCATCATCTGTCTTTCTAAGTATGCCTCTGGCCATAAATGGTTCCATAAATCTAGAAATAAAAATGCAGGGTGACTGATGCCCAGTGACCCTGTGGCCAGATGTATCACAACCTAAATGAGGGGCGGGAGGTGGGGGATGTGCCCTGCAAATCTGGCAGATGGGAAGCAATGCAGATAACATCCTGGTCAAATGCTTGA